TATATCATATGTCATTGGGAATCTCAAAACAACCTTGGGTGAGGGTCTATAGGAATTGTTATCTCAATTTTACAGATGGAAAAACTGAGGTTCAGAGAGGTGAAAGACTTGCTTACTATGGTCACCCCAGCATCAGAAAGAGGATTTGAACCTGCATCTTCCTAACTCCAAGCCCAGTGCTCTAATAACTTCCCTTTATAGCTTCTGCATAAAAACTCATTTCTATAGTGTTTTAAGATTTACAAATCATTTTCACTACACCCCATAAGGTGAGAAGTACAAGCATCATTATTCCCAGTTTTACAGAAGAGGAGGCAAAAGCTCTGAAGGATAAAGGCACCAGAATGGTGATTTCATTGATATAGACAATTCCCTGATGAGGGAACTTTCTCTATGAATGCAGGTCAGCACTTTCTCTGACAAGTCTGTGACTTGACCAGGATCCCACGTAATTGATGTCAGAAGCAGGACTTGAACCCAGGCTTCAAGCCCAGCTCTCTGTCCTTTTCACCCCATTTTTTTTGGAGAGGCAGTCATGGTTAAGTGACTTACCCAGGTCATGCAGCTAGTAAGTATCTGAGGCTGGATTTGAAATCAAGCATCAGGTCCTCCTGACTCCAGGGCTGGTGCTCTGTATCCTGCACTACCATTAACTCGTAAAGGGTCTGATCTGAACTCGGGTCTCTTGACTCCAGCTCCAGTAGTCTTTCCACTATACCTCTGGCTTTCAGTGGGGAGTAGTGGGTAAGGGAATGGGAGACAGACTCAAAAGCATAATTTTACATCATTTGTCAGCCATGACTACTGAGATTGTAGTTCCCTCAGAATAGAGGCTGTGTGTCTCCAAAGTCCATAAAGACACAGGATGCTTAGAGACTTGGGGACTTGTTGAAAATATATATAGAAATTCTATATAGTATGTATTATTATATATTATATTATAATATACATTATATATAGTATAGAAATTAGTGTTGGGATTAGAATTCATGCCCTGGGTCCTGTTTCCTTATCCCAAGTTCTCCTAAACTGCCTGCCCTTTCCTTATAGTAAACCAGAGGTCTTTCCATCCCTCATCCCTCCCCTCCCTTCTTTGATTCTTCGTCAAGTCTGGCCTAAAGGCAGCCATGTTGTCTTATCTGGCTCCTTCAGGGATCAAGTTGGGAGTAAATCCTGAGTCAAAACTTCTTCCTACTAACTGTTTTAGGATTATGCTGAGGAGACCGAAGGAAGCAGCTGCTATAAGCCTGGAGTAGACTATTCCAGTGGATGGGGGTGGGATGGACTGGGTAGAGTCCAAAGGATGCTTCACAGCTGGACTCAACCAAAATCTCTATTCATTCTTATTTTCTCTCTCTCTCTCTCTCTCTCTCTCTCTCTCTCTCTCTCTCTCTCT